ATTAACTGAACTGTTGAAATAACCTATGAATATGCTGTGATAAATACTGCACTTTATCTCGCGGTAGCCGTTTTGTTTTCTTATCAAGTGCCGACATCAGGCATAAACAGGGTTTGCTTCATTGCACCGACCATGTGCCACATTTTTAAAAGAAACAAGACAAATAACAGCTGGCAGCACAGAGTCAATTAAATAATCTTGATTGGCAGACATTTTGGCGATACATTATAAAATACATCAACTCATATATGAAGCTTACGCAAATCATGTTTGTGTTGACTTGCGAAAAATAAAATGAGCATACCTGCCCAATATAAGACGAACCCCTCAAAATCAGGCCAAAAATTTGGGACCAGAAAATTGACTTAAAAGCCGGGAAATACGGTAGTTGCGTGGACAAAAAATGAGCAGCGTGACGACGTAAATATGTGGAATCTCATAATCCAAGAATATGCTACCAAGCACATATTATTCTGACCAGTCACACTTCATTGATAACTGTTCAGAGTACTATCAGTCAGTATGAAATATAGCACAAAATTATTCTGGCCAGTCACACTCGATCGATCAGTGTTCAGAGTACTATCAGCCACTATAAAATATATCAAGCACAAATTATTCTGACGAGTCACACTTCATTGATAACTGTTCAGAGTACAATCAGTCAGTATGAAATATAGCACAAAATTATTCTGGCCAGTCACACTCGATCGATCAGTGTTCAGAGTACTATCAGCCACTATAAAATATATCAAGCACAAATTATTCTGACCAGTCACACTTCATTGATCACTGTTCAGAGTACTACCAGCCAGTATAAAATATATCAAGCACAAATTATTCTGACCAGTCACACTTCATTGATCACTGTTCAGAGTACTACCAGCCAGTATAAAATATATCAAGCACAAATTATTCTGACCAGTCACACTTCATTGATCACTGTTCACAGCGCTATCAGCCAGTATTGAAGAAAATATACCAAGCACAAATTATTCTGACCAGTCACACTTAATTAATCACTGTTCAGAGTACTATATCAGCCAGTATTAAATAAAATATATATACCAAGCACAAATTATTCTGGCCAGTCACACTTCATTGATCACTCACTGTTCAGAGTACTATCAGCCAGTATAAAATATACCAAGCACAAATTATTCTGACCAGTCACACTTCATTGATCACTGTTCAGAGTACTATCTGCCAGGTTTAAATAAAATATACCGAGCACAAATTATTCTGACCAGTCACACCTCATTGATCACTGTTCAGAGTACTATCAGCCAGGTTTAAATAAAATATACCGAGCACAAATTATTCTGACCAGTCACACTTCATTGATCACTGTTCAGAGTGCTACCAGCCAGTATTAAATAAAATATACCAAGCACAAATTATTCTGGCCAGCCACACCTCATTGGTAAATATAATATAAATATAATAATTCTCCCTAAAGAGAAAAAGCTGATAAGATGTCTCATCCATACAACAAACCACAGCCTCTGGTACCGGACCATGTTGGACATGGGAAAAGGTAATTTATAATTTGGGTGCCCACGTAGTGTCCTTTTACACAACTTGATGTAAAGTTGGCGGTTAAAATTAATTACCTCCATATTGGTACACACACTTATGGAGCAACATACTTTGGAACAGATGCCTGAACTCCCATGTAATAATAAACTATACCACTGGAGCATAATTCGCCGGATGAGAACAGATCACATTTTTGCAAAATTCACTTTTTTCAATATTTTGAGGTTTTGAGCCATGCTCTACAAGTTGGTGGTCTTGAAATCCTGAATTTCTCAATAATAAAAATTTTAGGTGGACTTAGGACTGTGGAAGTTAAGAACAGAATGGGCCTAAGTCCAGCTAAAATTTTTAATATTATGAAATTCAGAATTTCAAGACCACCACCTTGTAGAGCATGGCTCAAAACCCCAAAATACTGAAAAAAGATAGTCCCAAGTTCCAATATGATGGGCATGAACATCAGAAATGAAATGTCCGAAACTTACATCCCTAAAAATTTCTTCAGTGCAACTTAGGCCTAAGTCACCTTGTTTTACCTTGCATCCCATACAAAAAAATTTAGAAGTTGTTGAGAACAGAATGGGCCAAAGTCCATTATGGGGTTAAAAAAGCAGGAAGGAATTGAAGCTGAAGTGCCAAAAAATATCGATTACAAAGATATTCTCATCCACATTAAAATAACCAGAGCTCAGGACTTTACTAAGTGTGAATATCTAGAAATTCGAAAATAAAAAAATCCCAAATTGTTTTTTGCGTTTTTCTCAAAACTCAAAATTGTGACTTAGGCCTGTTCTGTTCTCATCCGGCGAATTATAGAATTGGGGGAGAAGAAGGCCGACATGAAGTGTTAATAATATGGCGAACCACGACAGGTATTACTGTTTTAAGTTGCATGGACTTAGTGGCGAAAGAAGCCGTAGCAGCACAAGCAGTTGATTGAACCACCCTAACCTTTTCCATATAGCCCTCCAATCCGGCGGACTAGGTTTTTTTAAAAAATATGGCAAATAACAGCAGACATTTTGGCAGCGAATACATTGTAAAATATATCAATCCAGATATCAAGTTTAAGAAGACTTATGCAAAAAATAGGCAGACCTATCCATACCGGTACAACTCTAACTATTCAGAAATGCCATGTATTTGTATATTACTATTTTTAATAAACAATTCCTAACGCGACTAAAAGAATACTCAAACTGTTGTCTTACTGTCACCATCCCAGTCCAGGATGGTCCAAGGTTGTCGGATCCGGGGGCCACACAATTATTTTTCCATTGTTCGCGGGCCACAATAATGTCGTAAATAGCGCAATACGAAACAAACACATATTGTGCAAACACATGCATCAATATTTGTCAATTATCACGCTAAAACATGCATAAACCTGCGAAAGTATTCCTATATTAAAATTTAGTGTAACATTTCAAACTCTTCATAATCATAACGAAAAAAGTGCATCAGCAAATGTATCGTATATCCTCACATATAAGTACATTTCGCACATGAGCCGACCCCATAAAAAGCTTTAAGATAGTGGATGTATAAAATCGACCTTTCAAATCGCCGTATGCACCTATCACAGTCAATGATGTTCAATATTTTTAATTCAATCTACCCCCCTTGTCCAGAAAAAAAATCTGTTTAAATTTGTCAGCCTTTTTTTTTTTAAACTCAAATTCAAAAAATAACTGCAGATTGATTAATTACCAAAGATTAGGTTACAGCCGTTACAAGAGGGTAATTACTACATTTTCTGATATATAGCTTAGGTAGCATTTTTTGCAATACTGTTTAGGCTGGTTGCGAATAGTATTGTCAGGTAATAACATTAGGCAAAATAAAATGTTAGTCCATAACATTATTAATATTTCGATATCAGGCATAGCCAACCTTGGCTAATTAAACGTATTCAATTTCTAGTTTTCTATGATGTTAAAATTGTTAGCAAAAAGATAGAAAAAAGTCAGATAACAATTTAACCTGCCAAACACATCGTTCAATTTTGCTGGTTGCCTCAGCTAACCATAACACTAGTCAATTTAGTGACATTAGTGATGTAACAATATGTCAACACATTTTTCTCATTAATTTTATGATGAAACAACACTTTTAATTACTCTGCGAATGCGTCGCAGGCCACAGATAATGAATCTGGGTTTGGACCACCCTGTCCTAATCTATATGTCACTATCTTAGGCTTTCGAATATTGCTATAAACAACAAGTATATTCAAACAGGTATAATGAAGAAATATCCCTACCATGACGAGTCCAGGAATCCCATTCACAAATTTATTTTTCGTGATGATAGTATTTCCGACTAGAAATTATCCAATACTTCAATACAAACTCCTGTAATATCCATTTTGCAGATAGTTCTCCAGTAATAAAGTTTTACTAAATTCGCTCTCAAAGCAAGGTCACGCACAGTGATACCTAAGTAGTTAAAGACTTTATACTGGAACAACTAGATAATCAAACAATCCGGTAGTCGCCTGAACTTTATTGTTAGTCATATATACCAAGTCATTTTCTTGGTCCATCAGACGAAACGAGTGTCACATGATTTTAGAGCAGAGCAAGGTTGTTCAATATGCAATCACAATCGAAGTTTTGCAGTATAGTCAAAAGACAGAAAGAGCTTTCATTTAAATTTTGAAAACCAAAAATACTCTCCTGTTTTACTTTTCAAAATTCAAATAATCAAATATACATTGGGTTTCATGTGATTTAAAAATAGAATACAGAAATATCAATACAAATTATTCGGTTTGGTCATTCCCGAGGTCAAACTTGCTTCTTCAATATCTATCTCACTTCATCAATATACAACGGCATACTCATATTTAACCCTGTATTTTATTTATATTGTTCAGGTAATGAAGACGAACAACTGTTATGAATATGATTATGTATGTATGTTTATTTGCCCCAAAAATGTAACAATATCTGCATAATAATTAAACAGTAAAAACGAGAGGAGATACATGTTAAAGACCTCACTGACCTGAGACACAGATATGCGATATGCACCCCTAACAATTATAACAGCAGTTTAAGACCGTTGCGGTATAATAGGATAACGGACATGAAATACGCTATAAAAATAAAACTATGACAAAAAACACGGTAACACACAACGACGATATGTACAATATAGTCAGGAGAAAAATATTAGATTCAACTAGTCTTGTAGACTGTAGTGGGAAGAATTCTATGGTATTTATAATAAATTGGTTTTATCCAGTAAAATCACATTTTATTATAAATATATAAATAGATATTTTTTTTGTTTCCATGTTTTTGTTTATCATTTTTTAATTTAATCCCATTCCCCCCAATACATATGAATAGTAAAAATCAAAATAAAGACAAAATTCATACCATTACCATGATGTCATTAATTTAATATAATCCAATATATGTCCAAAAAAGTTGAGTTAATCCACATGTAATCCACTCAGCAGTTAGTTGAATATAATTTTAATTTACAGGTAATCAGTTTTTATTTTAATTTTTTAGTTAGCATGAAAAATACAAGAATACAAAAATTAGACAGAGAATATGGAAAAATCCACGCTTTCATATTGGGTTTTTCCCATTCGCCATCTATGTTTCATAGTCGATACATCTTCCTCTTATGAAAATGATGTACAGATAACATACTTTCAATAATTTTCAGAGTATGGTGTTGCATATAAACTTACATCATGATTGACCTATGTAAAAGATCATCCATGTGCTCATATAACAATAATTCATTTCTTTCGCTTGCTTTTAGTAAATTTAAAATCCCTACCAGTTTACACTTGAAAATTGAACGCATACTACTTTTCATTTTATCTATTTCATCATATTTTACTGAATTTCGATATTCCCAAATTGTTGATTTTCCGCATAATATTGTGATTAATTTTGATTTGCATTCCGATTCGTTTGCTATAATAGTATTTTGATTAATATCTATGCAACACCATTGCCAAAAATCACTAGACCAGTCACATTCTAAAAATAAATGACACACAGTTTCTTCAACATTATTTTCACATAAGACACACATTCCTGGTTCATCAATGAACCAGTGTTTTATTTTGTCTCCAGTGGGCAACCCATTATGAATTAACTTCCAACATAACTCTTTATACTTGTTTCCAATATTTATTTTCCATATTTTATTCCAATTAATTGCCTTAGTTAGGTGAAATTTATTAAATATGTATTCCTTATGGTTTTTCAAAAATGTATCATTTTTCTTACTTTGTAAAATCCTATAAATTTGATTAGTGGTCAAGTCTTTCGACCCATTGTACCTATCAATTAATATTCTTGTTTGACCAAATTCCCTATTCCTTGATAAAATCTCTCTCCATTCTATTGGAAGTGCTTCCCATATTTGCCGTAATTCATTTTCGCACTTATTTATCAAGCAGTTTTTTCTTAAAGTACTTATTGCAGAGTTTTCTAGCTGGGGGTACACTCTTTTGGAAATATCATATATTGTTTTGCCAAAGATATCACTAACAGTAATTATTTTTGCCTGAACCCAATTTGATTTAGCAGTTATTTCAATATTATTTCTATCTAATATTAGAGGATTGTGCCAAATTATTTCCTGTGATATTTCTGCTATATTTTGTGGTTGATTCCATTTTAAGCCAATTTGTTTGAATGAGTTGATTATACTAGTATAAAATTTCGGTATATGTATATTGGTTTCCAATTTAAAGTTCAAATACAAGCATTCTAAGTTACCTTTCGATAATACATCAAAATAGTTATTTACAAAATACTTTGCTCTCTGAGACCATGGATTATTACAACCTTCAAGCAATTTTAACACCCATTTTACCTGTAAAGCTTTAATTTGATTCCTAATGTTCATCATTTTCACCCCTCCTTCGAAAAATTCGCTACAGCTGATATTTCTATTAATCATTTGTGCTTTATCATTCCAAATAAATTTCCAGATTATCGTTTCCATTTTTTGAATATATTTTTCCGGCATAAACTCAAAACTAGCCATATACCATAATTTAGACAGCATCAAAGATTTTGCAACAACAACTCTTCCTACAATGGTCAGATTTCGTCCCTTCCATAGGTTTACAATTTTTTGAACATTTGCAAGAATATTAGACCAGTTTTTGTCTCTAGACTTTTGGGAGTTTCCTATATATATTCCTAATAATTTTATCTCTTCCCTTTTTAAAGCAATATCCTTATAGGTATTATTTATTTGCCAGCTTCGAGAGGATCCACATAATAATATCGTACATTTATCCCTATTAATTTTTTGACCTGTACCACTTTCCAACAACTCCATTAATTTTAATACTGAATCTACAGACGCCATTGACTCAAGCATGAGTGTTATGTCGTCTGCAAACCCATTATATACATCTCTTTGATTCGTGCAATTCTTGAATCCGATAATGTCTCTATTGCATCTTATATTGGTTGATATTAATTCTGAAATAAATAAATATAACAATGGAGAAAGTGGACATCCCTGCCTTACCCCCCTTGACATAAAAATTTTTCTGATAAATATCCATTTACATTTATTCTAGAAGACGTGTTTTTATATAAAGTAATTATCCAATTAATAAGGTATTTTCCAAATCCAGATTTTTTTAATAATTTAACAAGTATATCCCTATCTACCATATCATATGCTTTTTTTTGATCTATCGAAAAAATAAGTAATGGTAAATTTTCTTTATTTGCCCAAAATATATCGTCCCTAATCGAAAGAAGATTTTGATGAATTGATCGTCCAGGAACGAACGCAGTTTGATTGATGTCAATTAGGTCTGGTAATACAGTTTTAATTCTGTTCGCAATAATTTTAGCTATTAATTTGTAATCAAAATTTAGCAATGTTATAGGCCTCCAATTCTTTATGTCCTCCTTTTCTCCACTTTTATATATTAATGTTATGACTCCCGTTATTGTATCTCGGGGCATTTCTCTCAGCTGGTGATAACTTTTATATAGCAACATTAATATGGGTTTTAATTTGTGCCAAAATTTAGAATAAAATTCTTTTGTTAATCCGTCTAAACCAGGAGCTTTATTTAATTTGAGTTCTGTCATGGCATATTCAAGTTCATCACCCGTTATTTCATTTTCTAAACTATTTTTTTGGTCATCTGTTATAAGTTTATGATAATTCCCAATTAATCTTTCTTGTACACTAACATCTAATTCAGTATCCTTGTGATATAGATCGCGATAAAATTTAACAATCTCATTCTGAATTTCCCCATGCTCATGGACAAGAAGACCGTCACATTTTCTTATTGATTTGATCATTTTAGCTTTAGCTCTTATTTTTTCCAAATTCAAAAAATATTTTGAGGATTTCTCTCCCTCCTCTGTCCATTTAATCCTAGATCGAATTATTGACCCTCTTGTTTTTTGTTTTATATGCTGTTTTAATTCAGTATCAGCATCTTGTAATTTGATTTTAGTTTCCTCATCCTCCGCATATCTTTCCATTTCTTGGAAGCATTCCCTATATTGATTTAGTAATAAAGTTGTTTTTTTGTTTTCCTCATCTTTTTTCAATTTAGAACAATGAATGGCCCAATTTTTGATTTTCTTTTTACAATTATCCCAGAAAGAACCTCTTTCTGTTTCATCAATGTTTTTTATATCAAAATGCCATTTTTTCAATATTGCTTTTATTCTTAGGCAAAAATACTCATAATCATTCAACTGAGAATTGTATTTCCAATACCCGGGTCCATGTTTTAAACAATTCATTGAAGCAATTTTTAGATATACCGGATGATGATCCGACATGACAGCTTCCTTAATCTCAATTTTACTAACATTCGCAATTTGGCATTTCGAAATGTACCATCTATCTAATCGACTCTTTGAAACAACGTTTTGTATATTATTGCTTTTTTGCCACCATGTGTATTGCTTTTTAGTTTTATTACTGTTTCTCCAAATATCTATCAAATCAAAGGCTGTAATAAACTCATAAAGTTTTTTAATGCTATTATCTACTTTGTATCTTATACTAGGATATTTATCTTCTTTGTTTAAAACACAGTTGAAGTCACCTCCAACATAAATTTGGTATTGTGAATTGGGATTTTGGGTTATACAGCTTTCTATTTTATTTTGCACTGCCAAAAATAATTCACTTCTTTCCCTACATCTATTTGGGGCATATATATTTAGCAAGGTAAAATGTTCATCGAAAGACTTCCACCTAACCAATATATATCTACCAAATTCATCTAATTGTACGTCATCAAAAGTTGCTTCTATTTTATTTGATAGCAGTATCCCTACCCCACTAGAAAAATTAGAAAAGTTGTCCAAATTGCATTACCTCCCCATTCTTTTGTCCATTTTTTTGCATCGTCTTCACTTCCGCAATGTGTTTCTTGAATGAATGTTATGTTTGATCCAATATTCCTAATGTAATCAAAAATGGATTTGCGTTTCTCGAAATTCCTCATTCCATTTACATTATAAGTTAAAAGAGTAGTGTAGCTGGCTAAATTCATAATTGGTCTCCACTAAACAATACATCCCTAACCCAAATTTGGCATCGTTCCAGAATGAACCTTTTAAACAAAAAGGAATTTTTTCAAAAGTACAAACTATTCTGATTGTTCCATATTACTGTTGTACCACTCTTTTGGTCTCTATTTCGTTATTGTCCTGTATAATTAGAATGGGTTGTGTGGTATCATGAGGTTCTTCTTGATTTATTTGTTCAGGTTGTGGGGATTCATCATTTTGTTGTTCTTTTTTCTTCTGCTTGGTTGTTTGGGTGGGGCTTTTCTCATGATGTCTCTTGAGATTTACTTCTGTTCTTGTATCACATATATTAATCACACTATTAATCTGTTGAACTGTTATGGCAATACCCTCCCCCTTCAGATGAATCAAGTCACTTTCAAAATAATTGTCAATAATTCTATCTTCTGATATACATTCAGGTGGAGTTATGTATATCACATTTGCAGCCTTTGATTGTTCTTTTATAACGTTATTTATTCTATCACTTCCATCTCTTGCTTTGTTAAATCCATTCTTCGGCACTATACCACATAAATAGACATTTTTCGAGATTTCTTTCGCTCTTTTGATCACACATCTCACATGTTTTTCCAAATCATCATAGGGTCCTTTATAAACATCATTTGTACCCGCGTAAATCACCAAATCATTATACTTTTCCTCATGCTTTTTGAGAAATTTTTCCAAATTTGAAAACCTACCACCCTCCACATGAATAGTTTTGACTTTATTGGTATTCACTTTTGATTTCATTCTTTTTACTTGTGAGTCTCCAATGAATAATATTTCTTTTTTTGATGTATTCGAATTTACTAATTTTTGCCTTCTGTATTCTTCCTCAATCTCTTTTAGTACTTCGCTATTCTTTTCTCGGGGGTTTACTTCTTTTGTTGCAGCAGATCGCATTGAATTCTCATTTTGGTTTTCTGGTTGTGTTGCTTCATTTGTAACTTCCATATTTGCATCATTCGTCATGTCTTTCTTTTTTCTCAAACAGTCCTTTTTCAAATGTGGTTTACCCTCACCATTGCAATATCTACATTTCCTTCTCCTTGGACAGTGTTCCACGTCATGCTCTACTGAATGGCAAATATAACACCAATGTTCAAATTTTTTGATGTTTTTTGGCCTTGTTGGATAAAAAATGAATATTTCGTCTCCTGTGTATTTGGCCGGTAGCCTGATTTTTGGAGGTATTTCATTTTGTAAGATCATCTGACATCTTAGTACCCCATTTTCCACTCCATCATCATCCGCCATTCTTTTTATAGTTTTAACCTCACCAAAATTGGAGAGCAATTTCGAAACTTTTTTATTCGATAATTCGTCCGGCATTTTACTTATTGTCACATTTGTAACATTGGAAAATACTTGTTCAATTTCCGCTTTATATTCCACTTCGTTGTGTTTATATTTCATTCCTTCATTTAAAGATTTTTGGAAGGATTCTTCATTGTTGAATTTCACTCTCCATACTCTGTTGTCTAGAATATACATACTTTTTATGGTTCCCTGACCAATTTGTTTATATATCAATTCTTTTATTTGTTCTCGTTCGAGCCAACGGCTGTTATTGAATCTTATATTTACGGTGTTTATTTGCTCCACATATTCATCATCGTCATCATCATCAACTTCACTCATTTTGGTACAACACTCACTAAACTAGTATTACTATATTATTGGCCTTAATCAAATAGCGATGATCTGATGCTAACTTAATACAACCAAACTTCGCACCAAACATCCGCCTGACTGTGTGATGTAACACTTCGAAATAGCTTACCGTACGGTACACCACGGTACGGTACACCAAAAACCGTCTGTGCAAAGACAGCAAATTACCGTCAACCCCGTGCAACTAACTTGTCCCATTATGGCGTCATATGGACGCCATTTTCGATCATTCGGCTCGAGTAGTGTAACGCAAACAAGCCTAATTTTAGTAGTTTTAAAAGGCTATTGGGGCAGATTTAAATCAGTAGTTATATTCCGAGGGCGCAGAAATCCGACAGGATGTCTCAATCAGTATCGAACCCAGTACGGGGCACTTACATTAAGAACCCACGCTGCTCGGTAACAAACATAATATAGACGCAACGCACGGTTAGTAAAGTAAAGTTTATTTCGGTTTTTCCGTAACACTAAAACAAATATATAGGCAATGCAAGTCAACACACACACACATATAGCCTTCGGGAAAGTAGGCAAAATCTAAAACTCTTCGACCTGATTATGTTAGGGCTACGAACCGTCCCGGGAATGGCCGGGACAATCCCGGATTTGACGTCTGGCGTCCCGGAATTTGCTGACAACCAAGGCGTCCTGATGGCGCAACAAAACATCCATGTTGATTTTCCCATTAGGATAGTAGACACACACAGTTTCACACTACAACAGGCCTAAATGACTAAAACGAACTAAATTTTTCGACAGTGAAGGCGACGTCATATGGGACTGTAGCTAAATATTGATGTCAATGTTACATTAGAAATTCGCCCTTTTTAGACACTCCAGCTGCATAACTGAATTGTAAACGTCCTTACACATGGTAGTACAATGAGAGAAATATTTTATTATTTTGTCAACCAAAAAATACAGTATCAATAAAATAGCCACAACCACAATTTTGAGAAAAACGCAAAAAACAATTTGGATTTTTTTCATTTTTGAATATCTAGCTAGATATTCACACTTAGTAAAGACCTGAGCTCTGGTTATTTTGATGTGCATGAGAATATCTTTGTAATCAATATTTTTTGGCACTTCAGCTTCAATTCCTTCCTGCTTTTTACCCCTATAAAGCTTTTTGGCCCATTCTGTTCTCAACAATTTCTGAAATTTTTTGTATGGGATGAAAGGTAAAACAAGGTGACTTAGGCCTAAGTTGCACTGAACAAATTTTTAGGGATGTAAGTTTCGGACATTTAATTTCTCATGCCCATCATATTGGAACTTAGGACTATCTTTTTTCAATATTTTGATGTTTCGAGCCATGCTCTACATTGTATTTATTTACATTTATTATTAAAAAATTCAGGATTTCAAGACCACCACCTTGTAGAGTCTACAAGATGGTGGTCTTGAAATCCTGAATTTCTCAATAATAAAAATTTTAGCTGGACTTAGGCCCATTCTGTTCTTAACTTATACAAAATATTATAGTCCCAGGTCCAGCTAAAATTTTTATTATTGAGAAATTGAGGATTTCAAGACCACCACCTTGTAGAGCATGGCTCAAAACCCCAAAATATTGTAAAAAGTGAATTTTCCAAAAATGTGACCTAGGCCCCTTCGGTTCTCATCCGGCGATATACGCTGAAGTGATTAATATTAACACTGAAAAATGACTAGTGGCAAAACTTGAACTATTACGATAATATTTTTACAATAAATTTGTGAACAAAATGAGGGGGTGTGATGGAAAATTATACTTAACTGATAACTAAATTCAATGGGGTTTGGACGATAATAATCAGAAAAAAAATAAATAAATTGGCTATATATACAAAGTGGATCAGGGACAAAAAAATAAATGTGATGAGAATGTGTCTGAACGTGAAAAATAATAAATAAAATAAAGTGCAACTCAGTGGACATACACATTACACAGTATTAAAAAAAGTAACACACTGGAAAGGGCAAGAGGAATTCTATTCATAGGTTTGTCATAATCTGAAAATGTTTAAAAAATGCATGAACTTTTTATATATGTTTGAAATTTTTGCGAACTTGCACTCCAAAAATATTAATACTTATAATGTACTTATCAATAAGGTTTAGCAGGTGGGGTTTTGAGAATGTTTCTGACTCACACAAAGGATCAATCAATAGGAAAATGCAATAATTCACATCTTGGGAATCGTGTCTACAAAACAAAGCGAGCAATGATCATCATAGGAATAGTGAACATTTTTATTCAAATCTTTGGTGTTACAGTATGATTCATGAAACCATTACAAATAAACTAATAGTCCAGATCAATTTGGAAATAATTTGATTAACCAATAAAAAGAAATAAGACTTATCAAATAACAAGACATGAGAAATGGACCATTTAGTTGATCAAGAATAATATGTAGATACCTTAATATGAAAGACATAGAAAAGAAGTGCTATTCGATTGATCAACAATTAAAATTTTAACAATTAAATACCAAAGACATGAAAAAGGTACAATAATTGAAACTTCAGCAGTATGTGTACCAAGTGACGGTTAGGCCCATATTTATTCTGACCTTCCTCATCTTAGTTCCATCACGAGCTCTGGACTGCCCATGTCAGCCAAGCGATGGCGACTACATATGAGTGGATGAAAAAAAACGCAAAAAATGGCACCCCCGTGTTATAATGAAAGCGTTATGTTGTTTCATATCGCAAAAAACGATTAGAGGGAAATCCCCCCCCCCCCCAAATTTTCCCATTTTTGTGCTTTTTTATATGACCCAACATTATAAGTTTATGACACAACTGGTTCGTCCTGGAGTCGGATGTTTCAATCAAACCTAAAACGTTTAAGAAATGATTTACAAACATTCAAACTGGCAATTAGAGTTTACTTTGGCATTCACAACTCACTGTAGGGCTATTGTTATTTTTGAAACTTCATCTCAGTCAATATTTTGGTTAATTCAGGTCTTGATGATTTGAATTATTTGGTGGATTTGGCACATCGAATATTGTCATCCCCTTTTATTTAGATTTTTTCCATTTATCCGTACTCTTCGGATCAAATTGGTATTCTTCAAAAATGTGTCTGAAAAAGGAATGAGTTGTAGGTTACACAATGAACGTACTTTCGAAATAACAAGCGTTCAGCATCCCATTTTTAACACAAAATATAATTGACAGTGACTTAACGAAACACGCATTCAGTTCAGAAATTCATTATTTCCACTAAGCTCCGAATTGTCTACTCATAATGCTGCTAATTACTATAAATTTTTGTTACCGAAGTGCTTTAAACAATCGTGACAATGAATCTGATTCATTCAATGCAATGTTCTGACTTTGCATTACTTAGGAAGATTTGAAAACAGTTTCCCTAACCTGACACCTGAAGCCAGCATTTAAAAATCTTACTAATTTAACTCTCAACTTTCCTGGGGTTAGAGCTAACTTAAATGAGTCGAATCGGCAACGTGACATAAATAATTAAATATGACATCATCCTAAAACTGTGTACAACCTATCTTTCCTGGTGTTAGTTTGACATTAGGCCATTCGTTTGACTAACCTCACACAAGGAACTGCCTGGGCCAGATTTCCAGCCTTTACGTCGCCTACAATTATTTTCCCATTTCCTCCTTCTCTGCTTCTGATGATAGCTTGAATAGTTGCACTGTTTTGCTATTCCCGCTGCAATTAAGAGCCGAACGGCCTTCAATTCTATAGCAGAAGGCACCAGCCTAGCCGCGGATCACGCAGAACCGCCGTAGCCTCGCAGGCGATGTTGATCGAAAATGGCGGCCAATTTCCATTGTTGCGCAACTTGGTATATATGGGCTTTGATTACCGTAGAATAAACTCTCCTCGTTGTCATCGCCATGGCAATACGGGGTCAAAGAGCAACATGCCACGACGTTTTGGTGAAATGCCTCGTGGGTTGTGGCGTCGGACTCATAAGTATTAAGTATAAGTATAAGTTTATTTCGCACCATAATCAGCATAACAATAAAATGATTGGTAAAAAAAATAAATGAAAACTGATTATGAAATCAGGAGAGCAAACAAAACCTTAGATAAGGACTTCATCGGAATGGCGTTGCCTCATGGCGTCGTTATTTAGTTTTATGTCAGAGTGACAAAAATAAAATTGACGAAAAATAATTTACAATAAAACGAAAATAATTTATCTGATTAATTGATCCATTTTACATATCGTACTTTACTATATGACTAACTTCACAGTATGGATGTATAGGACAGACAATGGTGAATTAATAAGAGTTTTTTACAGCTTTATTGTTACTTAATTTTGCCTAAATTTTATAATTTATACCTCATTAAAAAAGGTTCGTTTTGGGGTCATATGTCCAACTGCTTCCAAAATTTGCCTCGAAAGAAGTGGAATATTTCCCAACATAAACAGCAATAATGGCAACGGTAGTGAGGACAACACAAAGCGAAGAAACATTGACCACAACAGTCTCACAGGTGAAGGGGTAAAATTTTCATAATTATGGTGTACAGTACGGCACAGTTCTTTGATTGCAAGAATAGCCCCCACATTTGAAGACAACAATTATGACAGTGAGTGCAACCCCTCATTCATGAGACAATCTGGGCCTCCATATCGCCACAAGAAACCAAGAGGAAGCACAATTTAAAACGTCACCATTTGATACCTCCGAGAAAGTGATCTGATTTACTGAAGTAAAACAATTTTACTTTTGCATTCTAGAGTTTTCAGCAAAGAAACACAATTTAGATCATGTGGAGGCCGACAAGATTGGTTTAAATTATTTATGAGACAAGCAAGACACGATCTGCGGTTGTGCCCCCGTTTCAGAAACAAACAGAGTTATTGAACCAAATGTCGGGACATCTTGAAATGGGAGAACTGTGCCCTACTCGTATACCAGAAAGATATGATAAAGTCATATTATCGGTATTCTAATTCTCGGTATAAATTTGAGATAAAGTCTTATCCTAAACTTGCAGCTTTTTACTCCATAGTCTTGTTTCATCTTCTATTTAATCTAGGGTTTTCTCGAACCCTGTTCTCTCGGTACGCCATAATAATAAACCATCTTTTCCCTCCCCAGGATAAATAAAGTAAACAAAATCCTTATAGAAGAGCAAGGAGATTTTGAAAGTTGTGAAGGTCTGAGAACCACTGTTATAGCACGACAGTTCATTTTTTTCTTTTCTCCAGGAGCCATCGAGCCCAAGCGTCGTTTTGAAACTTCGCAAAACTCAGTCTGACCAAAAAGTTCGATGGACAGAGGAAACGATTGACAATGAACACATGGAAAAGAAATCTTCCAAATGTAAGAAAGTTATTTTTTGACTAAACCTCGATTAAGGTAGGTCTCTGCTCAGAAGTAGAACAGATTAATATCTAAGCAAAATGACAGCGAAACACTGAAATAAAAGCCAAGGGAACTCACATAAAATTATGTATGGCCATTATGCACACTCAGCTAGAAGTAATCTAGATTCATCTCGGAGCAAACAAGTGGGAACTGTAGCCAGAGTGACCAGATTAGAAACACAACAGCCATTGAAGTTTCAATAATCGTTAAAATAATCTGATAAAGATGTTTATCATGTTGAAGATATTACATTCCCCATGTTTTGTTTATTTATGCCACTTGTATTTATTCTGGGTAGGATCAGTTTTCAATAATAACTAACACAAGCATACTGAGACTGTCAAATATTACATACAGGTTGTTGTATTTATGAAAAACCTCGGATATTTGGGAGGACTCGTCGTCAGATGATAATTCTAGCGATAGTGATGACAATGCTTACGAGAAGAAAACGAAAAAAGAGAGAGCGCAGAAGAAACGATCGAAACAACATGATTGTAATGATCACGGTAAGTTCTAAATTATTTTGAGAAGGGAGAGCCCGCAAGAGGCTGCTGTTGATACTGGTTCGTATAATCAAGATACAGATATAATTACACTGTTATGACTATACATATACTCAAACTGTGATAATGACATAACAATTGGTGGTAACTTGAACCTAAAACGATGGAAACAAAGTGTTATCAGTCCTTGTTGGGTATGGCATACGTTAGCCAGTTTTTATAGACTATAGACTTTTAATCCGCAGCATGCAACCCTTGCAATGAATGACAAATATTCAACGAGTTTCTTTTCCTTTTTACAGATCACAGCCAGCATTCTTCTGATCTGCCAGGGCCACCCACATGACACAATAGTCTCATCCTTTTAACTTTTATACAAATATATTTTTATTTTATTTTAAATAATTTGCTCAAAGCAAGGCGCTCACCCAGAACTGCAGAAGTTCTGAGGGAAGTTACAGACGACCCCTAAAGTGCCAAGAGCTACTGAGATGATAAAGGATTATAGCAAAGTCATATTATAGTTTGAATTCATCGCTCAGAAACACTGATTGGCGCTCCAGAAGTGTGTGTACCAATATGGAGGTAACTAATTTTGTTCGCCTATTTTACTGAAACCTATGGGCAGGGGGTATATTCACTTGACTAATACAGACAGTCCCCGAACTCACAATAGAATGAAAATCGGAATAAAGTTATGGCCTAACCCTAACCAGGTACACATACTACGGGAGTACTCACTGGTTGAGGCAAGACACGGTCAGTTCAAAAAACTGAGAAAATGTTTTTACGTACAAATATTTCAAATTTGCACATTTCTAGTTTGAATCTTGTGTTCCACTTCACCCAGGTATTGATTTGCTTATGAGAGAATTCCTTACGTTTTTCCAAATAAGAAGTTGTTCCAACCATACCATTAGATGCCGGTGGCCGCTTGTAAAAATAGGGCGATAGCATTATAACCATGCACGAGAGTTGGTACTGTCGAAGTATGTGAACCAAGATGACGGACATCAGAACGTAGTATGTGTACCAGGTTAGGGTTAGGCCATAATCTCAGGCACAAATACTACGGGAGTCATTTGGCTAGTCCCTGAACGAATATAGAAAATTGGAATAAAATTATGGCCTAAACTGGTACGTCCTGGTGTCCGCCACCTTGGGTTCACATACTTCAGGAGTACCTGAGTTTTTACTGGAGCCGTAGTCTCATTTTTTACCTCCTCAAGTCTACAATTTTTATTTTTATGTATTCATAATAGCGACCCCATAGGTGTTCGAAAATCATAATACAAACCGTCTTAGGGCACTTTAGGGTCGAAAAAGTCTACATGGTGAAAAATCTATAAGCCCCATATTCTAACAGATGACCTGTGGATACATCTTTTTTATTTTCTGATTGTCAATTGTAAAACACTTACCGTACTTGTATTTTAAATTAAACTTGAATTTCAAAAAAGTTTTTGTTTTTATTGTGCCAGAGAGGGAAGTTGTTGAGATTAAATTTGTTAGCCAGTAAGTGGCAGAGAGAAATACAGCATCCCCCACGGGGTGCGAAATCACGTGCAATTAGAAAGCTTTGTCAAGTTAACGATTAGAAATCTAAATTCCCGACTTGTTCCAGGAGTCTCCCTTCAAAAATACAAATCAATCAACATGCATATCTACCACATTTTGCTTTAATTGTTGTAAATTTGCGCTGGCACATACCGAAACTTGCCAAACTTTCAGTAAAGAAAACAATAAAAATTGCGATCACAGCAAAAGATGTGGCAACTGGCAGTATTGGCTGGACACAAGTTAGAGATCCCAAGTTCAACCTCGTGTTAGCCACCCTGACAAGTGTATAAGAAACTGGGTAGGCAATATCGAACCGGGAGAATAAGTGGGGTTTTGCATTTCAGTGGATTTTTACTGGATTCTCGTTCAAAGCAATAACGCCTTAAAAATGGATGAATGGATAAAGTAAAAGTTTTGCACAAGTTTGCTAAACTCTGACAATATAGCAGAGGTCCCCAACCTTTTATGGCTTGTGGCCCCCTTCCAAAGGTTTCTAAGCCTCATGGCCCAGTGGTATTTATAGTGTTATCATGATTGGTAGATTCCAAATCCCATTAGTTTCAAACAATTCATGCTCAATAAAGTGATTAGACCCCGTGAAACAACCTTATCAAGCAACGAAACTAGGAAGTTTTCTTGTCAAGGGACAAGTAGAATCTGTTCTGCACCTTGTGACCCCTTTTTGACGGCGACAGCCCCTTGTTAGGAACTGCTGCGCCAGGGTAACTACTATTGGGGCTGAGTGGTGGTCTCTCATGTGTGATTATCGCAACCAGGAAAAGCGATTTTTAACAAAACATTTTTAATTAGAAATATAGTATTTACAAACATGATTAGAAATAAATTAAGCAAAAAAAAAAAAAAAATTCTGAAAAATAACAGAAATCATGATTTAATACTAATCTATAAATACTATCAGCATAATGGCCTAGTGCACGGGTCAGCAACCTTTAGCATTGAGCATTACTGATGAGTAAAGTAGACTCCTCTCACGTCACGTCTTTGTCAGAGTGAAATTGTAAAAACTCCCCACAAAACACTAACGTGGCATCTCATGAGAGCGTTAAAAAATGTGTCATCGAGTGGATGTCCGTTTTCATTTCATGGTATTCCACCGTTTTCCAGTCTTGGTCGAAGAACCACTGAAAAGGAAGAATGAAAGCCACTTTAAAAAGTTTTTTTTAAGGAAATTTCTCTAAAAAAGGTCACTCTCACTCCCTCAAAAATAACTGACTGAGGTTAGAGGCAACCTCTGAAACGCCAAGTGTTACTCGATTACCAAACTTCATCAAAAGTTATGCAACAAGTGGTCATTTCTTAGACTTTGGATGAAAATCGTTAGTTGGGGCAGCGTGAGAACCTAGTGTCGAGTAGAAGGCCAGGCTGAGCCAGAAGTGTATTCGAGAACGGCTTTAAATAACTCAAAATCAACCCCACCAGAACTGGAGTGGAATAACCTGGAAGATCTCCATGCGTCATAAGTTGGGAACCACTGGCCTACTGGTCACAGCATGAGACTTAAACTGAGACCTATCCTGCGAAACACTCCTTGTGAAAGTTTATTGTGTATGAGTGGACGCATTTATGTGTGTCAGTTTCCTGAAACCTTTTCGTATGTTTTGACAACTATTAGGAATAAAAACCGAAGTCTTGTGAGTAGTGTGTATATGAGCATAAGGATTGCATTGTGCAACATGAAGCAATGATTAAAAAGTTTGTAAAAGAAATTCAAGAGCAGGAGGGTCATTGAATTTCTTGCATTTTATCATGTTGGAACGTCCAACTCCGAAATATTTGACTTCATAATAGATATTGGTGTTTTTGATATAAGGGGATCCCACGGTAAGTCCAATTGCATATCATGTTAGTCTCCCACGCGCACCACCTCACCAAATAGGACAGGCTATGCGGAATTGGAAAAATGGAAGATATCATCAAATACCGGTGGCTGGCTGTAGGGCCTTGTTCGGAATGAAGGATGTACCGGTAAATATATATTGTATGAAAAACACTATACCTGGTAGTGGAGCTGCAGCGCCATCTGGTTGTTGCAGATTGATGACTCCTTCGCCATTGACCCTTAACCCAGGAAGTCCAGAGAGACTCACCCTTTGCTCATCCATGCGTTTTGATTGCGAGTTTGCTAACATATTCATCATTGTTGAAATTTGCTGATGTTGACCGTCTAAGAGAATAAGAGAACGATGCTCAGATATATGGACACGAAGACATAAACAAAGTAGTACGAGTGTAGCAATCTGTCACAGTATACTATGTTACCCGCTGTCACGATGTCATAAAAACGAGGAAGGCAGTCATCACGATGTCATAAAAACATGTTCCCATAAATAAAAACTATAGCGCATTTTGCATGAAATATCAAATCTCACAGAAAAATTCAGGAACAAATACAAGTAATAGCTTTCTAGCAAAAAATACCGGCACTGCAGTCTTCACGACTTCGACTGACCACCAGGATGTAACAAATGTGAATGCAGAACCCCAACAAGGTGCGTAAATATTAATTTCGACGACATGACCTCTCAAAATGGCATAATGAAAACGAATCCCAGAGAGTTTTTGGAAGAAATAAAATATCCGCTTAGTGAAAAATACAACCTTTAACCACTAAAAAATTTCAAAACAATTAACAACTATACCAACATGAAAAAGAGAACAACATAGTAACAAGAAAAACTGTATGATTGCCACCAGGTATATTCATAACACTGACTGTGCTTAATTTATCATCGATAGCAATGTTGTTGTGACCATGCCCACGAAAATGACTGTTTCTCAGATTTTCAAAAAAAATATTAAAAGAACACTCACCCCCATCATTTCCAATGGGTTATCATCCCCCCATTGCCCCATTCTCCGCAGGGTGATGATTTGAGGGAGGGTCTGAAGGGTTAGGTCTTAAAAACGTCGGTAACTCATATTGGTCGTCTCTCATTTCACATTGTTGATCGTCCATCCTACGACTTTGAAGTCTTGTGATAAGGTCAAAGAAATTGTCATCCTCCAGCATGTCTGGTGAGATCTTCTGAGCAGGAAAGAAATTTTTATTTGATGTGGGGGGAAGGGGGGGGGGGGAGATAAAAAAAATTAGCTCCTGTTACAAGCACTAAATAATTCCTTCTCATTTTCATATGAGTAATTAAAAAAATTGAGAGATTGTGTTTTTAGTTTGCCATGATCATTAGTTATGGACATTTAAATAATGCTGAGGAGACGAAGGAAATTTACTCCCAGCCTTGTTTGAGGGTCAAAAGCGTATACTGTATATCATCGCAAATAAGCCGATTTGAAACTCAAAATAAAAAGTTCCCAAGCTAAGAGTCGGTTTATACACGCATAACTCTGATCGCACTAAAGGGACAGCAGTTTGACAGTGAGAGTGAGGATGAATTTCAAATTTTGAGGATTTTTTATTCAAAAGTAAAACATAAAAATATTGGTTATTATTAGGGCTGTCCAAGCGAACCGAATATTCAAAATCGAATCGCTAAAATTTGGTACATAATGCGCCTCACGACCACCTTTGCACTGCGATTTTCACCGAGCAAGCAAAAACAATGTTTCTATCGCTTGCTTTGCTGTAAAAAGGTGTCTCCTATTGCCCGGTGACATGTAATTATCCATTTCATGCATGGTCATAAATGGAAAGTTATCGGTAACAAAGATTTAAAGATGACGCTTTTTGAGAGAACACAAGGAGAAAAAGGCAATCTTAGTATCAGCAAAAACGACAGTTCTATAAATAGAATCGATTTGTAGCTGTTGAGTCAGTAATCATAGAGACATGGTGCAGGACTGAAACACGTTTTGGAGGTCCAATCCCTTTTTTCAATAGAATTTCTTCTAATGGCAATACTTTGATCAACCATTTATTAATTACAGCAATAATATGGTCATCAACAAATAATGTCATCAAACAAGCTCTGAAATTGTGAGTTCCCAAAAGTCAATTTTAAATTTTTTGGGCTACAGTTATATCTACATTAATAGTTGTTTATCATTTTACTGAAAATTACATAAAAAATCTTGAGTTAATAATACTAATAATAATAGGATTAAAATAGCAGCTATGGTCTTTCATTGCCCTATTGAAACTGAATCTATTAAAAGGGTCTGTGCAATTTCCAACTCTTGAAACTTGATAGTTTTCAAAACCCTAATTTTTATGACCAGTTCAAGGAGGCTTGTGATTTCCTTTTATTACTTTCGAAACATAGTTACTATGCAAAATATTAGCAATAATTTAGATGTAACTGCAAATAAGTTATCACATATCGAAGAGGAAGTTTTTATTGTACAATAGAGACAAATATGGGATTGCGCAATAATATTCGATTATTCGGTTCGATTCGAGAAAAATATACGATAAATATACCAGCTAAAGAGCTTGCAATTGGCGATTAAAAAAAAAAGTTTTTTTAAAAGTGGTGGTCTGAGTCACAAACCGGATAGAAAAAAGGCATTTTTTTTCTTGGGAGTTGAAACTTCAAACCGTGATAAAAAATAGAAATATTCGCTAAATCCTTTACTGTTACCGCTTCGTGGTTGGCAAACAATAGCATAATATTGCTGTAGCAATTTAGTGATCTAACTCAAAATACTTTGGTAGATGGAAGGGATAATATGTCTTCTATTACCACCCAAAAAACACCGAAATTTGCATAAATTTCAAAAACACTCCCTCGTTCCGCCGCAAATAAAATTCCCGTCGTAAACGAAAGCGAGATTTACCGTCGCTTATGTTAATCTCGAAGAAGACTTCTTATCAGCAAACTAAAACCCGGAAAAACTAGACCAACAGTTTGCGACCGATTGCTAAATAAAACAGTGGAGTACATCAACGTACCCGCTGCAATCTAGCGACTTTTGTCATTGGTACGTATACGTGCCCACCGCACGGAAAGGTTTAAATTACAGACCCTTAAATATATATGGCTGAGCACACAGAGAAAAGGAAAACGATATTGCCTCCAGAAAAACACCTCCAAATTAAATACCATTTAAAATACAGAGTTTTGTGCCCAAATGTGACCACTTATTGAACATTCTCCCTCTACGAGCATTTACTATGTTTTTAACTCTTTACGAAACCAGTTTCAATTGAAAGAAAATTTGACCGGAGATTTGGAAATTCATCAAAAAATTAAATATAAAAACAATTCAAGACTTACTCGTTTCATTCACCGGACTGTTCAGCTACTCTCAATAGGCTCAGTATATCCAGGTACAGCTACTCCCAGTAGGTAAGTGTGTAGTATATCCAGGTTACATCTCTATATGAGTTATAAATTCCCAAGTGCTTTTGTAGAAACATAACTCAATATATCATCGCCTACATTAAGCTAAGGCTAAAATCACAAGAACACACAGATTAGTCAATATTTACAGTAATAAAAGAATGTATAGGATATGTTGAATTATACAAGAGTATATGTGGCATCATGAATATGGGGAGTATGCTTCAGCAACAAAGAACAGTGGTTAGAAATAGAATTGTGACATATTGGTTTCATTAGGGATCAAAAAGTATTACAGAAAAATGATGATAAATTTAATTTTACCTCATAAAACAGTTGCATAACAATTACAAAACCTACTTAATAAAAATATGGGAGATTATAAACACACACTATTGTCACACTATTTAAAGAATGTATAATTCTCAGTTTATTTATGGATATGCTTGTCAAATATATCGAATAATAACAATCATCAAAAAATTAAAATAGGTATAATATTATCTGCTTTCTCTTTCGCAAAATTAATATACGTTTCGAAACATTATCATGCTTGGGAAACAGTAAGAATACAACAGTAAGCAATATACATGTTTAGAAATAAAAATATAATGAAGACAGTTGAAGATTAATAACATATGACTCAGTTTAATTTAAGACCTCACATATCCAAGTGGATGTTCTATTAAGTGAGAGTCAGATATACTGAATAAATACACATGGAACAATCATAATAGTCAAGAATCTCAGTTCAATTTATGGGTATAATATATTATGTCAGAAAGTTGGCTCTTTAACATCAGAGTCAAAATATATCTCTTTCTCAGAATTAATACAAAATTTTCATTTGTAACAGTAAGTAATATATCTATTACATGTTTGAAAATACAAAATTTAATACAAATAGTTGGAGATTATAAATTAGCATGAAAATATATTAAAACAGTAATAAAGAACATATGACTCAGTTCAATCTAAGAAAATGCACTCTCTCTCACTTTAATTTAAGGAATGCATGTCCAAGTGACAGTTCTATCAAGTCAGAGTCAAAATATGTAGAATAAGAAGCTTCATTTAAGTCTAATTATCGCACTATTTCAGAATGAATATATCAGTAATAATATTAGTCCGATTACTTGATTTAAAGTGTAGGCCTCACAAATGAAATGCAGAATTGCCTGGTATTCAACAGTATTCTGTGCTCTGAAGTAGGAATTTTAATTGGAAACTCCAAACTTTTTTTTTTTTGAAGTATTTCGCACCCCAAAGGACAGTATTTTTTGTTTCTGGGTTAATTAGGAATGGGTTGGATATTTGTGAAGTATCTTTGGATGCTTCATGCTTGGAAACTCATGCTTTGCTGAGCTTGTTCAGAATTTGTTGAATGAGTAAGTCCATTTGAGCCTGAACCATGATTGGATTAATTATACGGAATCCCCATGATCCACTATTTATCTTTGCACTTGGACAAAGCCTCACAGTTTCTTTCCTCAGAAATTCCATCTTTGACTCGGGCAACTCTTGACAAAAGAACATGAGCTCTTCCACCCTCTGAACCAATCTAGAAACAATCATCAGTTTATCATCAGTGAGGGATTCTGTAGTTGGTCTTCCCAGATGTAAGTGAGACAACTTGACATCTTCATTTTCTAAACTTGAACAAAGAGCTGATAACTGCTCAGTTGTTGGAGTGCAATGATGTGCCCGCAGATGCTTTGCTTCAGTATTTTTCAGCAACTTTGCCAGTTGTTGAAATGCTTCTGCATCCATGTTAGGATTCTCATCGATATTCAATGAAAACAACTTGACACCATATTCAATGACTGCTTGGTTCATCTTACTTATTTTCTCTGCATTCAGGCCACAGCCACTCATTACAAAACTTTTCGCACCATCATGACAAACCAATCCAATTAGATAATAATAACCAGAAGGTTCAAGTGCTGGACTTTCACTTATTGTGAGGCTCAACCTAATCTTAAGGTTTCCCTTCATCACGGCTTCATTCAGGATTCGAAGATTCTCAGCATCAGGGTCAAAATTGATAAGATCGAAGAATTCCACATGAACATTCTCCACAGAACCAAGAACATGTTGCAGGAAATAATAACTACCAGGATGTATTTCCAATCTCCATAGTTGCAAAGTATGAAGTGAAGGACTATGATAAGCAACAGACATCACTGCATGCTGATCTTCAGATAGATCTGACGTCAATTTTATCTTTTCTATTTGTGAGCAAACTTTCTTGATCACATCAGAACCACATTCATGTAATAAAGTCAATACTCTGTAATCTGAAATGACTTTTGCTTCCAATAATTTATCCAAGTAGCCCATCAGGTATTCAGACTTGATATGCAAGTTATCAGGAAGATATTTTGCTGCTTTTTCTGAAGTTGATTTGTTGAGAATAATTCCAAAAGTATGTTTTATAACGACTTCCATTCCTGGTTTATTATAATAATTCTCGATAAACTTCTTGTATTCATCCAAATCAAGAGTGCAGGCATACAGGGCAGCAAGAATCTCTCCTATACTTTGATGAGGGAATCTTATTTTTATATCATCGTCGTCGGCAACATACTCAACAAATCGAGTGTCAGCATTCATCTCAACAAGTCCACGCATGTCATTCATATCCAGGTTGAGTGACTCAATATAACTTGCTGTGAAAACAAATCGATTTTCTATCATTCCATGGAAAGCCAACTTCATGAGTTTTGATACATGACGTTTGGCATTTCCTCCGTGACGAGATCCTGAAAAAAGTTTCAGAACAGAAACCATCAGATTTGTTAAAGTGCCAACATCACTTTCCTGAGAATCTTTCAAAACTTGAACCAAGTAGAAAAAAAACATTGGGTTTGAAACAAGTTCTGGTGCTTCACGTCTCAAATCATCGAATATTTTTTTTGCTTCACAACTAAATAACTTTTCAGCAAGAAGTTTCAGTGTTTCATCATCCCATCCCCCTAAGGTGAGTTTCAAGGTGGCCTTGAGATCAGGAGGCAACTTCCAATAAACATTCCAACGAGTCGTTGACAAAATCTTTATTCCTGGGTACATGTGGCCGGATAAAATATTAGCGAGAATAGTGTTGGTTTTTGCTGGAGTGTCCACTCCAATTCTTCCATAATCATTTGCAAAAGGCTTCCGACTTTGATCCAACCCATCAACTACAAGCAGAATATGTTTTGAATTCAGTTTCAACCACTTTTGTCCAACACGATGGAGATGCTCGGGAAGTTTCAAACCAAGTTGTTGAACGAATAGAAGATCAAAAGCGGTTGATTGAGAATCCGCTTGTAAATTAGAAACATCCAAAAAATAGACCATCTTAATTTCGTCCGAAAAATTTAAACTTTTTTCCAGCGCTGACAATGCATATTTCATCGAAAATGTCGTTTTTCCAGAACCCGTGTCTCCTAGCAACATCACACGGTTGACTGAGTTATCATAATGAATCTTCGTGATATCCACTGATTGCAAACTACTCTGTTTGTTGGATTCGGATTCCTTAAACTCAGTCACCTTGGGAAGTATAAAATCGTCCATTTTTGTTTTTTCACTGGCGGATTTCAATCTGGATTCCAACATCTGCTTTGTGTAATCCGCCACAACAGTCAGAAACTCCTGAATACTATTTGCATCTTCCATTACTTTGGCAGATCTCGACAATTTCGGTTTCTCCGATGGAAATTCTTTTTCCATTTCCTTTCTTTTGACTAATCTTGAGGATTCACCCATGTTGACAGGCAAAGTAGACTCGCTCTGACTTTCAGATATTCCAGATGTAGATCCCACAACCATCCTTGGTTGACAGATTTGTTCGTTTTCTGCCTGATTGTGATCATAGATGATTTGTTCTTCCTCTGCCTGATTCTCTTCATGATGATATTCATCAACTACTTGTCGTATTCTTTCTATCACAGCTGCATCATTAGTGTTTGAATACTTAGAATGTCTCCATTTCCACAGTAATTTAAGATTTCGCTCCTCCACTGAGAATCTATTATTTTCTGCGATAGTGTCAACTTCATACTCAGTAAGAGATAATCCTTGCCCTGATCTCGCAAACTGCTTGAAATCCTTGGATGTAAATTGTTTAATAACATCTTGAAAAACATCTTCAAGTCTGTCAATAGGAGCAGCAGCGCCTTGTTGTTCAGCTGCATGGTATCGCGTAACAAGATTCCTTATCCTTTGTGCAGTTACATTCGGTCGGTTTCTTTCAACCCAAAGCCAGAACAATTTCTTCTTCTGTTCTTCAACAGAGAATCTGTGGTTTTCAATGACCGTAGTGACATCTTGCACACTGAGTGAGAGTCCGTTACCAGATTGTGCAAAGGTTTTGAAATCAACAGTTGAGGCAAATTGTCTCACACATCCTCTGATCACATCTTCTAGTCGGTCACTCATATCTCCGATACTTGGGAATGCTACTATACTATTTCTGCATTGAAAACTGCACTATTGTATTCGAGGGAACACAGAAAAACAAGAAAGAGTGAATATTGGGCTGAGCACTTTGTCAGCTTCAAAAAACAACAAGGCAGAGCTTCTCAACCTGGGGTTCACGTGAAAATTTCTAGGGGTGCTTGGAAGGCAGTCGATTTTTTGTGTGTTGCTTTTTTAATATCCTTTATTATTACCAGAGGAAAATGCGAGCCAAATGTAATATAGATTTTCACTGAACTTGCGTTGTTGTGACTGTGACGCAGCAATGTGATATTCACAGCTTTGCAGGAAAACTGAAATCTCTAAGACCACATGCTGCGAGCATTGGAAAAGGTAAACTTGGGGAAAGATTTTAAAAATTCATTAGTTAGGCTTACTACAAGTAGGGATGGGAAATGTAGAATAATTTACTATTCTAGAATAGTTAAATCGAATCCAGAATACCGAATCCTATTCTATTTTCATACTTATTCAAAAAGTGGGAATTTCCACAATGCTGGATTTAGATGTTAAAAAATTGTAAATGTATTACTATAAACGTATTATTTATTTAGAAATGTCCTGAACATTGAATTTCATTTGACCTAAACAGGCATTTCCCAAGACAATAAAATTTAGGAATATTAAAATATTTTTTGCC